CCCCCCGCCCCGCCACCCGCCTGGGGCCTGATGCGTCTCCCAACACACTGACACAGTGACCTTGGCCAGGGTCACAGCCACAGACAACTCTGTGTTCCACACGCCCTGGGGATTACCCCTGTCTGATGTCTACAACAGTTCAAGGGGCGGATCTCCCTCCTGCCTCTGGAAGGGTGGGTGTGGGGGGAACTCCCGGCCACCTAGGCCCCAGTCAAGCTGGCAGTCTTCAGCAATGAACTAGACTCACAGCCTCTGGGTGCAGTCCCAGGGACAGCCACAAGGTGGCGCAGGGACATGGGGGAGGGGAGGCAGACAGGGGAGGGGCTGCAGTCCTGGGGGACCAGGAACTGGCATTCCCGCCTTTCTCAGAGTTAGCAGCAGACTTTCCCAGATCCACAGAAGTCTGGGCAGGGAGGTACAGAGGCTGTAAGTGAGAGCTACGCTAAATCTTTTTCAGAGCCCCCTGGGGTGGGGATTGGGTGGGGGGGATACCCCCATTGCCCTACCCAGCTGCCAGCCCCATCCACTTCCTCTACCCCTCCAGGGACCCAGTCTTGGGCCCCAGGGCTTTGCTGGGCCAGGCCTCCGGCCTCCTGGCTCAGGATCTGGTCTCCTAGGCAACGGCCACACTACTCCCCAGAGCACCCCCTCCCCCACCCTCTCCCTGGCCATAGGCACAGGCTGTACCCAGCTCCCAGGGCACCACGCCAACTGAGACTGAGCTCTGTGCCACTTGGAGCTGATGGGAGAGGCAGAGACCCTCTGGACTCCTGAAGCACAATGCAGGTCGTAGGTAACCCATCCCTAGTTGTGTGTGCAGGGCTGATGCCTCCTCCACGTGGGAGCAAAACCTTCATAGCTGGCATTCACTTTCACTTCCTGGGAGGAGCCCCATGGCAATGCCCGCCCTTGCCCAGGAACAAGGAAGAGCTTGTGAGGCTCCCAATAGGTTCCAAATATAAGCGTGAGCTGTGACCAACAGCTACTGGTGCATGTGCCCTGAAATGTCATGTCACATGCACCATGGCTTCTGGACCACACGCTGGTGGTCAGAAGTGAACAACCTGGTAGGGAGAGGAGGTACATGGCAAGGCTTGGATTCCACATGCTCAGGTGAGGGCGGCTGAGGGGACACTGGGGGGCATTTGAGACTCCCAGCACTGTCAAGGGAGGGGCCACGTGCCTGCTGCCTGTAATTACTCTGCTCTGCACCACCTCCCCCTTTCAAAATGGGCATCTTTCCATTGAGGTGCCTAATTCCCTGCCGCAGGGGAACATGACCTCATCTCCTGGGCAAAGGTAGGCAGCAGGCTTGTTGGCCTCATGCCCATCCCCCCAGAGGTGCTTAAAAGGCCCAAGCTCCACTCTCTCGGGCCCAGCCAGGTGACCCTTCCTGTTGCCTAGGAGTTGGCACGACCTAGTTGCCAGACCCATTACCTGTTCTCCTCTGGGTCTGACCCACACTCCACCTTGCTTGGCTTCTGTTCCATTCACTTTAATTCCATCCAGGATGCCCTCCAGCACGCCAAGAGACTGGGGTGGGCACACTGGCCCCCCCGGCACGCCCACAGGCCACCCACCCCCCGCCACCCAGGCCCTAGGGCCCAGCACCCATGGTGCCCGCCTCAGCACTTGGCCTTTCACACCATGCCCTGCGCCCCAAGGGGGGCGGGCGGTGAGAGGGGCCAGGGAGTGGCAGATAGTGGGGTTGGGGGGGAAGCTGGGTCTGTGGGGGGGTCCTGGGCTGGGGGAGTAGCTTCGGAATCTTGTCCTGTCCGGAGGTCCCTGCAGAGAGAGGAAAGAGGCAGGGATAAGGCGGTGCCATGGTGGGGCTAGGTGAATAGGATTCCTTTGGTGCCAACATTTTGGGGCTCGTAACGAGATGGTGGTAGTCATGGAGGGCAGGCACCCGGACAACCCTTCAGATCAACAGACAGCAGGCAAGACTGGAGATCCACATCCTGCTCCCCAGACATGGAAAGGGATGGAGGGAAAGAATGAGGTCACCCATGTACCTCGTCTCAGTCCTCACATTCAATCAAGTGCCTGGCCCTTAATATGCGTCTATTAAACATCAGCTATTGTTACCACCCCCCAGTTTCCCTAAAACTCATCAGTATTACAGGGCAAGAGGCCACCAGAGATGAGCAGCTTCAGCCCAGGCATGGGGGGTACTGGTGAAGGAAGTGTGGTTTGTGGGGGCAGCATGCAGGGATCCCGAATGCCCACATGGGTGCGTTCATGGAGAGGGACATTGCAAATAGTAGGGAGATGACCTCCCTGGCTGCTGGCTCAGTTACGACTCCCCAATCCCGGCCCCCCAAGGAGCTTCCCATACAAGGTCCCGAATCACACTTCCCAGTCTGAGGACCGGACTTCCCAGTTGGTTTAGCTGAGCTGCCACCCAGCAGGATGGCAAGAGGAGGGGAAAGGAAACTAACCCACGTTAATGGAATAGAGAATATAGGCTCTCTGGTATCAGAACTACACAGGTGAGGAAACAAAGCCTCAGAAAGCCTAACCATTCACTCAAGTTGGCACAGCTAGTAAGCAGCCTGCCTCCAATGCTTGCCTTGTCCTGCTACCTGGGGTCCAGGGCAGTGCCAACCTGGGCCAACCAATCCCCCCACGCTGCTCTGCTGACCCCAGACTGCAGACCCGAGGCTCCGTGTCTGCACACGCAAGGCAGGTGTGGGCACGTGAGAGGGGACAAAAGGTGCAGCTCTCCGCACACAACCTCCATCGAGTGGCTGCTGCACCAGAGTCCTTGCCCCTGGGCCCCCCCGGCCCCACCCCTAGGAACTGATAAGGAGCCAGGGTGGGAGGGGAAAGGAGAGATAAGTCAGGCCATTGGGCAGGGTAGGACAGGGCTGGACCATGGGACAGGGCCTCTGCGCTCAGGCAAGTCCCCATCCTGGGGAGCAAGGCAGTAGTACAGAAGGGTGGCCTACTCTGCTTTCGATGCCCCCGCAGACCAGAACTGGGCACTGGGGGCTGGACAGGAGACATGGGGTGGAGGGGTGCGAGCAGGGAGCCTTAGCCCAGGGAGCAGTCAAGAAAGTAGGTCAAGTTTTTCTTGGCTTGCGGAGAAATTCCTGTTATAAATTTATAATGGCGTAGCCAGCCCTAAGGGGTGGAGATGGGGGGAGAAGGAGTGGGTGGGGATGCCCAGAGCCTGGGCATAGGGGCCTGCTGCTCTCAGCCAGAACAGTGAGGGGCTGGGGGCCGAGGGAGGCGTGGGCCTTGGGCTGGACAATAGAGGGCTATTTTCTGTCGCCTCTGTTTCCACTTCTATCTGTGCCCAGTGAAGCTTCCTTTGGTCTGTCTGTCTGCATCTGAATGTCTTTCTCTCTCTCTCTCTCTCTCTGGGTCTGGGTGTCTCCCTGTCTCCCCCTCCCCCCAAGACTGTGCCTCAGTGCTTGGCACACCCTGGCTGCGGTGCTGCCCCCGCCCGTCTCCTGCCCACCTGGCATACTGCCACCACTTGTTTACAGAAGCTGGAAAAATCCACTCGCCAGCCTGAGGCCCAAGTGCCCCCGGGGAGGGGAGGAGGCAGGCATAGGAGTGGGCATGCTGAGAGAGGGGCAGCCCTGCAAGCAGGCCCTGGAGGCAGGTGAAGGGAACCGGGGTGTGTGGGAATGGGTTATCAGCGGTTAGGGGCCAGACCAGGCAGGGAGCACCGGTGGCAGCGCATGGCATAGGCAGCTCCTGCCCCAGGCCACAGCTCTGGAAGACCCCTCCCCCCGACTTCTGCTATCGCCAGTTGCTACAGGGCACAGCTGGGGCAGTGCCAACCTAAGCCACCATGTTTATTTTCCCTCCCCCCGACCCAGCCTGGCCTTAACTCCAAATGTGGCTGGGCACCGCCAAGGGCTTGCACGTGCCTGCTGCAGCGGGTGGAGGGAGGAGGCCCCCACTCTGCCTCACCTCTATGCTGAGCCGAACGGTGCCTGATGCCACCCAGGCTCCACTGAGCCCCTGGTAGTGGGCAGAGAAGCAAGGTCCTGCCCTCACTGCTTAGGGCACCCTTGCCTGGCACCTAGCAGGAGGCTGGAACCCCTGGGGAGTCCTTGTCATCTCTCTGGGGACATACCTGGGCCTCTGAGGCGACAGGGCAGGCAGAGGGCCCAGCATGCGGGGAGACACATAGCACATGAGCCTGTGTTAGCTGTGGGCAGAAAAAAGTCAGTGGGGCAGGGGGGCGGGGCAGAGATACCCATGCTGAAGGGCAGCCTCTCTCCCCTCCTCCTGGAGTCCTCCTCAATTCCCCCAGTGCCTGCCTGGCACATCCCCTGCAGAGGAAGAGGCTCAGCATCCCCCCAAGAGGCAGAGGGCTGGAGCTATGGGGCTCTGAGACTAGGCTGGACAGCCGGCAGGCAAGGCCCACCTGTTGGCTGGCCTGGCCACCCACTCCCTCTTTGTCAGATAAGAGATGCCTGGTGGCAGTGTGGGCAAGGTGCCCGCGGAGGGGGAAGCATTTCATTAAGCTTAAGTGCTTCTGCAATGGGGGGACTGAGACAAGAGGCCAATGCGGCATCCATGGGCACCATGCCATGTTCCTGCTGCTGGACTGTCCCACTCCGCAGTCCTGTGGACCCAAGGGACTCCCCGGAAGGACTCCTAGGGCTGCCAGAGGGGACTCTCTGCCCCAGAATCCAGCCCCAAATTCTGTACCCACCACTCTCCTGAGTGTCTGCTCTTGGCTTTGGCCCCACCTGTCAGGGCCCGTGAACTTTGTCCTTAATGCTCTACCGAAAGCCCAGCCCTCCTCCTTGCCAACCACAGAGGGAAAGACTCACATAGAGAGAGGGGGGCTGAGAAAATGGGAGAAAGAGAAGCAGCAGAGGGGTGAAAGGGACGGTGGGGGAAGAGGGGGAGAAGGATGAGGAGAGGCAAGAACAAAGAGATGGGCAGGGGTGGGGGCAGAGGCAGGGATGACAGTGAAGCCAAGGGAGAGGAAGAAAGGCAGCAAGGAGATGGGAGTGGAGAGAGAAGGGTGGGGGAGAAAAGAGGACAGAGAAAGGAAGGAGAGACAAAGGCAGAAAGGTAACAAAGAAAGATGGGTGGGGGGTGCTTCATGCCCCGCCTCAGTCCCACCTCATGGAGGCTGGGGGAAGGAGAGAAGAGAAATGGTTTCCACGGTGACAGCTGGTTCTTGGTGGCCTGGCATGTGGGCTATTAATAGTGCTGTGGGGAGATTCACACCTCCCTCTCCCCTTCCCCTTTGCCTGCTGCTAGGGTGGGGGGAGGAACTTTCCCCCCACTCCCAATTATCTGGCACTGACGCCCTGACTCCACACCATGGGGGCCAAGAAGGGTGGCCAGGTGGCCACTGTAGCCCAAACACGCACACACACACACACACACACACACACACACACACGGGCATGCACAGGCAAACACAGGCATCTGTGTGCAGACACTGCCGCCTGTGCCAGCGTGGGCTCCCATGGACAGCCACAAACACCAACAGCTCCGGGAGTCTGGAGATGGTGGAGGCTGCGGCAGCAACACAGGCATGCAGGTTGAGGAGTAGATGCCTTTCAGGGCTGGGACCTCTTCCTCCTCTCCCAGATCCCCCCGTTCTATTCTCAGGTATGGACTGAAGGGGACTGCCCCACCCAACTCGCTGTTATCCTAGTGCCAGGAGAGAGAGGAGGAGTAAAGGCGGGAAGGGACGTACTATTTGGCAGGTGTGACATGGCAGAGGAGTACACAGACAGAGACCAGCTTGG